AATTTTAAATTTTATTATAGAGAAAAAATATCAAGTTCAAAAAACTCTACAATAATATGTAGTCAAACCATTATTTTTTTCGTCCCTTCAAGGATAAAAACACTTATTTATAATTTTCTTAAATGGGAACCCTTATTTTTAACTTAATAATATGATAGAAAAAAAAATTAAAAACAATTTTGTTCCTATAATTTTTTTTATACGATTAACCGTTCGTCCGTTACAGCTTGTTAAAGTTATGTGATTTTAGGCCAAATTTCTATTGTCATTTTACTGTATTAAATACAGAAGTCATTATTTTTATTGCCGTTGCATAAACCAAATTTTATTGTTATGTTATTGTTATTTTATTAAGTTATGACAGGTAAATTAGCTATAAAAATTTACTACGCACTAAATGAGTGATAACAATAATAGATTCAAACCGGGTTTTCGGTGAATTATTAATAGCTAAGTCTATGGATTTGTAAGACTAAAGGATCTAACAAAAATACCGGTTGCACTGCCACCGATATTATGAAATGTAATAAATGACAATATTTTTTCTGGAAGTCAAAATCTTTAAACAATTATAAAACGTAAACGGTTGTTTGGATAAAAAAAATTATAAGAACAAAATTGTTTGTAATTTTTTAGCTTCGATGCGAAGCGGAGAAGGTATTAATTTTACTATGATGTGTTTTTTTTTTTTTTTATGTCTGTTGCCACTTTTTCTCAGCTCTCACTGGACCAATTTCTTTCAAAAATACGTCAAAAGATCACAAATCGTATCTAGTTGAAGACATTACCCTTAAAAATTGAAAANTTTTCTCAGCTCTCACTGGACCGATTTCTTTTAACAATACGTCAAAAGATCACAAATTGTATCTAGTTGAAGACATTACCCTTAAAAATTTAAAAATTTTCCCTCGTTCCCCGCAAATGGGGGAAATATCCAAAAAAATTACAAATTTAAAAATCGACAAATTTTCGAAATTTTTTCACTTTTTTTTCTTAAAACTTCCATAACTTTTTGAAAAATCAACAAATCAACATAATTTTTTTTTTAACTAAAACCTTAGATATTTACCTTTCATTTGATATCATTTTTTTGAAAATCTATCACTTAACCTGCTCATTGGGGGGGATTTAAAATGGCAACTTTTTTACAAAAATTAATTTTTTCAACTTAATTTTTGAAAATGTTCCGGAAAGACTGCGTCCTTTAAACATATATCAAATTAAAGCTTATTTTATGTACTACAAAATGAAAAAAAAAAATTTGTCCCGACACTTTTTTTTCTACATTTAAACGGCTGCCGTAGTTAAAAAAACACTATTTTTGTGTTAAAATTTTCGATTTTCGATTTTAAATTTTCAACTTAAAAATGCTATAACTTTTTGAAAAATGTATATATCAGCACAAATTTTTTTTTTCTAAATACATTATAAGTACATCTTTCATTTGACATACTTTTTATTAAAATTGGACAATTTCCCCTTATATAGGGGGCGTTCAAAACTTAAAATATTGTAAAAAACATAGATCTTTTTCAACTGAACTTTTGAAAATGTTCCGGAAATACTGCGTCCTTTAAACATATATCAAATCAAAGGTTATGTTATATACTATCAAATGAAAAAAAAAAATTTGTCCCGACATCTTATCTTCTATGTGCAAATGGCTGTCGAAAATTTAAAAAAAAATGTAATGTTTGCGATAAAAATTACATTTTATCGGGATGTTTTTTGTACTTAAAACTGCCATAACTTTTTCAAAAATGAACAAATAAAAATAATATTTTTTTGTATTGAAACCTTAGATATTTCCCTTTCATTTGATATAATTTTTTTTGAAAATCTAACACTTATTCTGCTCACTGGGAGGATTTAAAATAGTAACTTTTTTACAAAAAATAACTTTTTCAACTTAATTTTTGAAAATGTTCCGGAAATACTGCGTCCTTTAAACATATATAAAATTAAAGCTTATTTTATGTACTACAAAATGAAAAAAAAAAATTTGTCCCGACGATCTATCTTCTATACGCAAATGGCTACCATATTGAAAAATATACTATTTTTGTATGATAATTATGGGTTTTGTATTTTATTTTAATAGAAGTTGATGTTGCTTTTGCAATTATCCATCAATTTTTTAAAATTAAACACTATCTACAGATTTGCATCGAAGCGTTTCTTATGATAGTGATTTTAATCACTGTCAGATTAAATCTATACTGGACCCTACTATGCAATGTCTCCACTATGCCGCGACCCCACTGTGCTACCGTTTTTTTCTATCATATTATCAAATAAAAAATAGTGGTTCCCATTAAAAAAAATTATAAATAAACATTTTTATCCCTGAAGGGATAAAAGAGAAATTATTTGACTTCATATTATTGTAGAGTTTTATAAACTTAATAATTTTTCTTTTTACAAAAATTTTAAATTCTCAATAGTTTCTGAGAAAATAAGTCTTACCTGATTTCGATTATTCTGTATATCAGTTTTATTAATAATTCAGAATATTATAATTTAATACAATTTGAGTTTCAATTTATAATACTTCTATTGCAACAGATAGATTACTCATTTATACAACAAATTGTTGTCAACAATCATATTTCTTGTCCATACTAGTTTATATCTAATCAATACTAAAGTTTCTCTGGCCCATCTAGAAGTAGGCAGCGTATAGGTGAACAGAATTGATGACATTGTTCCTTGTATAAAAATTCGTAAAATCAAATTATTTTGGTTTTTAACTTACATTAAAAGAAATCTAATATTTTTTTTCCATCTAGTTATTAACTAATTCATTAAAACAAACAAAATTGCAAAAAAAATTTTTTTGGATATACTTTTTTGCAACTTGATGACTTTATTAAACTTTTGCTGTCGTAAATATTTTATGATAGATCTCATAAAATATGTTTTTAAAATAATTAAAGTACAGTTTGGTATACATTTTTTTTTACAAAAGAGTAATCTTAGTAAATCTGTAGTATATAATACGATTTATGATAAAAATATAAAAGTTCAAAATTCATCTTTATGGGAGTATGTCAAAAAAAATCTTATTGAACAGAAGTCTATGAAAAATAAAAATTCTATGTAACTCTTGAAGATTTTATTAGTAATTCAACGATATACAAACGAACTGTTCAGTCGACTCTTAAGACGCCAAAAACAACTATGTGTAATCGATCTATTAAGTATGTGATTTTGCTAGGTGTATATGCCTATGAAGCTCAATTTATTAATGTTGATTCAAAATTTTATTGGGATGAGTTATTAAAAGTTTCTGATAAATTAAATGCAGCAATGTTGAAATTGAAACGCAAAAATGATTTAAATTTATTAAATGAATTGAAAAATGTAAAGCTTAAAAAATTAAAAGAATTGGTAGAAAATTGCGCATTCTATATCTTAACAAATAAATAAATTAAAAAATATAATTTTAAATATGATTATTCAGAATCCAATATTATAAATGAACACATACCACAAGATTTAATAGATAAATTATTAATTGGATTTTCCGAACATGACGAGACATACAATTTTAATCTTATACCAAACTCACAAAATAAAATGATGCAACAGTTAGAGATAATTTTTCAGTTAATTCACATAGAATATAATATAATTATCGAAATAGATTTGTAACTTTTGATAAATTGTTTGAATAGGGTGTACTTGTCCAAGTATATGCATATTTTGTATTTTTAAATACATGGAGTATTTTCAATATTATGTTGTCATAAAATAAATTTTTTCAGATTATTGTGCAATTTTTCAAATTTAAAATAAAAACAATCTATTATTTTATTCATGTTTTATTATTTATCAAAAATTGGTTATATTTTTAAGAACATTAAAAAAAAAATTAATTAATGATTACGAGGTTCCACCTAGACCCGGACCCTTATAAACCTTATGCGTCTATAGTGTATTACGTCCTTTGGAACGTCCTTACGGGTAGATGACAGATTCCAATAGGCGTATCCATCCATACTGGGCATGCTGTAACATTCCACCATAAAATCTCAATTTTTTTTTTTATTTAAAATTATGAACTTGTAAAATAACTCGAGTACTCTATAAATATTTATCCATGTCTACAATTTTATAATTATCTTCTGAATATGTAGGAGGTTTTATATATTTCAGGAGTTTTACTTAATCACTAAATTAGCTTAAACTGACTTTTTCATAATGTACTTACTTTTACCAACAGAGCTATTTGTAATCAGTTTTCACTTTTTTATATTTATAATTTTTAATTAAAAGAAATCTTTGTTATACAAGAACTTGTTTATATCTTTGTTATACAAGTGCAATTTTTTTTTAATTGTCATCCCACAATATTAAAATAAAATGTTTATTTATTTTTGATTAATTTTCTTAAAATCCTTTATAGATTCTTAATAGTTTTTATAACTTAAAATAGTTTTTTATTTTTATATTATTTATGGTTTATATTCTCTTACAAAGACACTAGTTTCCTTTAAATTTCTATAATTTAATATAAATGTTTGCATTTAAACTTAACCTATTTGTAAAATAAATTTTAAATAATTATTGTTTTAATGGTAGAAAAGTATACTATATAAAGACAGATTTTACTATGATCATATTTATGATTACAGAATTTTTTTAATTTTTTAAAGTAATTTTGTTAATTTAATGATTCTTAATCAGTATTGTGTATTTTTTCACATGATATATAATACACTTCTAAAAACTAGCTTTCAATCTACTAAGATGGCAAAATATTTAATTCATTTTGTCGTAATATAGGTCATATGAAAATTTTATAATTCATGGTATGAGTTAATTCATAAACTATAGTAACAATTATTTAAAATTAAAATTAAGCTTTGATATTATATCAAAGCAAATTAATAATAATTTATAATTAATCATCATCAATATTCTTTTTGAACTTACTTTAATAGCAAATAATTAGTAATGTCAAAAAAAAAAGAAACAACAGAGATATAAAAAATTATTTTTCAATTATTATTTATATTAATATTGTAACCGTGGGAGGGAAAAAGACAATTAAAATATTAAACTATACTGAAAATATTTTTGAAGCATGATTTATACATGTTAATACAATAAAACTTTGTATTATAGGTTAGTTATTTAGAAAACTTTCATCTAAAGATTTATACACGTTCATTTTAATACCAATTCTGAAAATTTAAATAATATTTTCATTAGTAAAATTTTATTTTTATTAATAATTGTCATTTAAAATATTACTTTTCAAATTCATTAGCTATTTCTTCAATTTTTGAGGGAGGACATACCATTGCAGTTATGGAAGATTGTGGATTGAATAATGGAATCACATATTTTCTGCCAATTTCAGGAAGATCTTCAAGTTTTACTAATGATATTTTCTTTACAAGATCCCTAAACATAATAATTTTTTCTTTTTTAAATATTTCATTACAATAAGTAAAAATATTACTGGTTATAAGTTTGTTTTAAATTTCGGAAGTGAAACAAAATTGATTGTGAGGTTAAAGTACCAATTGTACTCTCTCTATCAATTATTTCAAATGTAACAGAACATTTTGCTGACTCGAATAGTGTTTGATCCCAAGAAAATTCACTAGATAAATGTTCATCCTAAAATCATAAAAATATAACAATACAAAATGCTTCTTATTTAACTGATAAATAATAACTAAATCATAATTTATGAAGTATAATATTAATTTTTAAAGTTTCGGAATAACTATTCATATAATTTTAATAAATATTTTTATAGTAAATAAACCAGTATTTGGCAAGGCTGATGTAAAATTGGAAAAGATTCTATTAAACATATTACATAATATTCTATATATATATATATATATGAAGAAATGACGTTTAACTTGTAAAAAAGCTATATGAGAAACAGTTATAAACTATTTCTAACAATAACATTAAAATTATGACAGATAACTAACATCATTTCAAACGTACTTTAAAAGTACTTGAACAAATTAAAATTGTATATTACACATGTCACTTAAAAACAAAATAAAAATTTTGTATTATAATTAGAGGAATCAAATTAGATACTGAAGTATACAAAATTAAAATAGACCTAGAGACAAAGTTATGTCACTAACATCCAAACAATTAAATCCTAATGACGAAAATAGTGTAAAAAACAAGAATAAAATTACTTTTATTTTTTTAGACTTTGAAATACAAAATAACAATTAACCTATAGTGTCTTAGATCTAACTGACATTTTAATTTTTAATACAATTATCACTTTGTTGGAGTTTTCATTTTAAATAATTATTGCCTTTTTAGATTACGTTTAAGACATATTTTTTATTTCTCATCCTTAATAAGAAAAAAAAATTTAAATAAAAATTTTTTATTTTTTTAAAGTAGCCAGTCATTTTTTAGTCTTCTTGAAAAAAAAAATTAATGGGTCAATATTAAACAATTTTAAGACAAGTAATCATTGAGATACAACCATTTTTTTTGGTAAGAAAAGGTATAAAAGTGACTGACAAATTTGAAACTTAGAAAAAAAATATTTTATTTTAAATGTTTTTCTTATTAGTGATAAGTAATGAAAGATATGTTTAAAACATAGTCATAGAAGGCAATAATTATTTTTAAAAGAAATTTTAACAAAACTATAATTGTATCAAAAATTATAAGTGTTATTAGTTCAATCTGAGAGACACATTGTATACAATATAAATAGTTTATATTATCATAAAATAAATATTACAACAATATCATATTTTTATAATAGTTTTTCATGTCAGCATATGTCCCACTATTTTTTTTCTAGTGTTAAAATTAATTTTAATAGATATTATATCATAATTCAACAAATTTGTTATTATTTTCTACACTAAGACCTTTTGAATTACACAATTAAAAATAAATAAACATTTTCACTACTACCTTGTTATTTTCATTAATAATTGTCAGTAATTCTTAAAAATTAAAGTATTATAAAGAAATTATATCTAAAAGTACATAGGAGATAAGTACATATATAGGATAAACAATTTTGGATAAGATACTCATTTCTTCAGAAATTATTGAATATTTTTTATTTTAGTAAAAAGAAAAATTATTTAGTTTCAAATTGTACAATATAATGTAGTAAAATAGTTTACTTTTTATTCTTTTAGAGATAAAACACTTTACCTTAAATTTCCTTAAATGGGAACTCCTCTTTTTAACTTGATAATATTACAAATAATTTTGTTCTTATAATTTATTTATCTGATCAATCAATCATCTATAACATCAAGTTAAAGCTTAATGATTTCAGATCAATTTGATAATGATATTTCATTATTAAGAATAACAGAAGTCTTTAATTTTCTATTTTGTTAAATGCTCAAGCTTTTTTTTTTTTACTAAAATATTATTTAACATTCAGAAACTTTATCTTTAATAATTAATGTCTAATAATACAATGTTACATGCAACGCAATTTTACTATTGTACATTGATGATCATTGATGAATTTTTTTTGATAGCTATCAAAAACAATAATTTATTTAAATGAATCTGATTATTGTTTCTTCCGGTATTAAGTAAAGAAAATTAATAATGAATTTTTATTTAAAATCAAAATTTTTAAACAATATTAAAACTTTAACAGTTGAAAGAATAAATAAATTATAAGAATTAAAATATATTTAATTTTATTATGTTGTGTTTTTTTTTATGTTTGTCAACACTTTTTCTCAGCTCTCATAGGAACGATGCAGACATTTCTTTTATAACTGAACAAATTTCCCTCATTCCCTGTAAATGGAGGAAATACCCAAAAAAATTACAATCTTTAAAATCTTAAATTTTAATTAAATTACATTTTGACATTTTTTTCTATTAAAACTGCTATAACTTTTTGAAAAATTAACGTACCAAAATAATTTTGTTTTATATAGAAACCTTAGGTATTTTCCTTTGTTTTTATATTAAATTTTTGAAAACCTGACCTGTTACTTGCATACAAGGGCGGATTCAAAATATCAATTTTTTCAATTTAACTTTTAAAAAATAAATATTGTATTTCCCTAAACTTTAAACAACTATAACTCGTTCAAAATCAACAAAATAAAAAAACAACTATAGCACGGTGGGTTTGGGACACATTGTGAACATGGAGTAGTTGGGACAAGTATAAATAATATCTGAAAGCGATTGAAATCACTATCATAAGAAACGCTTTGTTGCAAATCCGTAGATAGTATTTAATATTAAGAAGTTGGTGGATTATACCAAAAGCAAAATTAATTCCTATTTCCTTTATTATTCCTGATTAGTTGTTTTTTTATTTAGAAGTATAATATATGAATAAATATATCTAATAAACAAAAAAGTTATACTAAAAATTCAAATGCCATTTACTATTAAATTAAAAACTCAAACATTTTATTAAATTCAAAATATGTGTACCTATTTGTAAAAAAAAAGTTGACACCCTTACCAGGCATAATGGGTTGACCTTAAAAAATATTACATAGTTAATTATTCAAGAATAATATGTAACAAATGATAATCAAAAAAAAAAAAACCCAGCACAGTGGGGTCGCGGCATAGTGGGGATGTTGCATAGTTGGGTCCAGTATAGATTTAATCTGACAGTGATTAAAATCACTATCATAAGAAACGCTTCGATGCAAATCAGTAGATAGTGTTTAATTCTAAGAAATTGGTGGATAATTACAAAAGCTACATTATCTGCTAGTTTCTTATTAATACCCTGATTAAGATAAAGTATGTCGAATGAAAAAGGGATTATTAAAAAATATTATTTCTCATAAAAAAATTGTGTTGATTCGTACACTTTTCAATGAGTTATAGCATTATAAAGTTAAAAATGTAACCAACCCAACCCAACATCAACTCCTATTTCCTTAATTATATCCAGATTAGTAATTATTTTAATTATATATTATATAATTTTTATAATTAATTATTTTCAAATTATTATTGATTTTTAATATGTTAAAAGTAATCATTTTGAACCTACTTCTTTTTGTTCTTTAAAGTGAAAGTTTTAATAAAAAAAAAATGAATTTATTACCATAACTTTTAACTCAACTTGCAAGTTTGAAATAAATATTATTAAATAGAAAAAAATGAAATTGGTAGATTATTTCAAAAACAACAATAACACTTATTCCCTTAATTTTACCCCGATTTATAACTATAATATATGAATACATAATAATTACAGTAATTAAATTGAGTATGAAAGTGGTATTCAATAATATAATATTGTAATTTTTACGGAGATATTATAAAAATAAAAAGGAGTTGTATATTCATATACTTTTAATGCGTATACAAATTTAAAGGAATTTATGCAATACTTTTTAATAAAAAAATTTTGTTACTTATGAATAAATACACTAAACAAAAGGAACTTTCATCAGAAAAAAAATATACTTTTCTAAATAAACTTTTCGTGATGTTTTCAAATGTGCAATTAAACTTTTTCTATTACTTCTAAGTTTTAATATTATTACTTATTATTAAAAAATAAGTATTTACATATAAAAAAAAATAATTAAGAACAAAAAAAATTGTATTAAATTAATACTGATTTTGATTTTTAATATGTTAAAGGTAATCATTTTGAACCTATTTTTTATTGTCTTTTAAAGTGAAAGTTTTAATGAAAAATACCTTCTCAGCTTCGCATCGAAGCTAAAAAATGAATTTGTTACCATAACTTATAGTTCAACTTGCAAGTTTGAAATTGACATTATTAAATTGAAAAAAATGAAATTTTTAAGATTAATATGCAATCTGGAAATTTTATAATTACTAATTACAGTACATTTGTCAGAAAAATTCGATTTTTTTACATTTTTATCGTAATAGATAACTGAAATAGAAAGAATAGTAATCATATCCTAATAACTTTTGGTGTTTAAAAAAATTCTGCAATTGAAATATTCAGAACTTAATTAATTTTAATAATTTACTTTAATTAAATGAACCAATCAAACCAAAGTAGTTAAAAAGATTTACTCAATTGAGCATATTATCAAAAATATAATTATAATTGTAAAACTCCATCGTTAACTTCAGGTGAAACTAAAAATCATTTTTTTTTTAAATTTATGATTTATATAGCAACATATTACTAAAAAATTTGGCATATTATAGACTGGTAGTAGCACACAGAAATAGAGTTAAAAAATTAATAAATTATAAAGTAAAATTATTTACTTTTGTAGTTGAATACTTTTATCATATCAAATTTAATTCGACAATAAATAATTTAAGAATATTAAAAATTAATGATTTTAATTGTTTGTATGGACAAATCTAGTTAAGCTACTTTTTATTTGAATAAGGAATATTTTTTTGATTTTTAAGAGTAATAACTTAAACTAATCATTAACTTAAATATCATAAACTTAAATGAATCATTTGACGTATCGTTGAAAAAAGTAGGTCTAGTGAGGGTTGGCAAAATAAATCGTAGCCAGAAAAAGAACCACATAGTAAAATAATATTAACATGAATATCAATTTCTTCTCACGAGGGGAGACTATAGTGATAAGATCCTTTATATTTATTGAAATTATTGAATCTAAATGAGATAAATATCAAATGATTTGAAAATTCTATTCTAACTCAAAAAAAAAATGCAAAATTTTAGAAGCCACAAACGGATTTGAACCTCGTACCCTAGGCGTTAAAGATCAAGGTGTTACCCATTCGGCAACTATTCGTTGATTTTTGTTGCATGATAAAATTGGCTATTTAAGCTAACTCAAATTTAAAAATTACTTTTTCGACTTTAAAAAAGTAAAAAATGTTAATAAGTATAATATCATATGTCTTATGAACTTTATTCTATGTCAATGAAATTATATAATATTCATGAAAGTCAGTTTATTCCCCTAATAAAATATTTTAAAATAAAATAAAATACAAAACCTAGAATTTTAATAAAAAATAGCATATTTTTAAATACGGTAGCCTTTTGCGCATAGAAGATAGGTCGTCGGGACAAATTTTTTTTTTTCATTTAGTAGTACATAAAATAAGCTTTAATTTGATATATGTTTAAAGGACGCAGTATTTCCGGAACATTTTCAAAAATTAAGTTGAAAAAGTTAGTTTTTGTAAAAAAGTTGCTATTTTAAATCCCCCCTGTGAGCAGAATAAGTGTTAGATTTTCAAAAAAAAATGATATCAAATGAAAGAAAATTACCTAAGGTTTCAATATAAAGAAATATTATTTTGATTAGTTAATATTTGAAAAAGTTATGGCAGTTTTAAGTACAAAAAACATCGTTATAAAAGGTGATTTTTATCGCAAATATTACATTTTTTTTATAATTTCGACAGCCATTTGCACATAGAAGATAAGGTGTCGGGACAAATTTTTTTTTTTCATTTTATAGTACATAAAAAAAGCTTTAATTTGATATATGTTTAAAGGACGCAGTATTTCCGGAACATTTTCAAAAGTTCAGTTGAAAAAGTTCTATTTTTTATACAATGTTTCAAAGTTTGAACCCCCCCTATATAAGGGGAAATTGTCTAATTTTAATAAAAAGTATGTCAAATGGAAGATGTACTTATAATGTATTTAGAAAAAAAAAAATTGTGCTGATACATGCATTTTTCGAAAAGTTATAGCATTTTTAAGTTGAAAATTAAAAATTGAAAATCGAAAATTTTAACACAAAAATAGTGTTTTTTTAACTACGGCAACCGTTTAAATGTAGAAAAAAAAGTGTCGGGACAAATTTTTTTTTTTCATTTTATAGTACATAAAATAAGCTTTAATTTGATATATGTTTAAAGGACGCAGTATTTCCGGAACATTTTCAAAAATTAAGTTGAAAAAGTTAGTTTTTGTAAAAAAGTTGCAATTTTAAATCCCCCCCCATGAGCAGGTTAAGTGTTAAATTTTCAAAAAAATTATATCAAATGAAAGGAAAATATCTAAGGTTTTAGTTTAAAAAAAAATTATGTTGATTTGTTGATTTTTGAAAAAGTTATGGAAGTTTTAAGAAAAAAAAGTGAAAAAAATGACAAAATTTGTCGATTTTTAAATTTGTAATTTTTTTGGATATTTCCCCCATTTGCGGGGAACGAGGGAAAATTTTTAAATTTTTAAGGGTAATGTCTTCAACTAGATACAATTTGTGATCTTTTGACGTATTGTTAAAAGAAATCGGTCCAGTGAGAGCTGAGAAAAAGTAGTGACAAACAAAAAAAAAAAAAAAAATAAACACATCATGGTAAAATTAATACCTTCTCAGCTTCGCATCGAAGCTAAAATGTATAAATTATAATTATTCTGTAAGTAATTGAGTGGTTTATGATAAAAAAATCACCTTGTATACCCCTTCATCTGGCATACTTTTTTTTTTAATCGGGCAATTTCCTTATACAGAGGGTATTCAATACTTGAAAAATATGTATAAAAAGTAGAATTTTTTCAACTTAACTTTTGAAAATATTTCGGAAATACTGGATCTTATGGAAATAAATGTTAAATTAAAACTTATATTACATACTAAAAGTTAAAAAAAATGTTCTATGTGACCTATTTTCTATGTGCAAATGACTGTCGAAGTTGAAAAAATAGGAGTACATTTCGCTTTTGGAATAATCCACAATTTTTTTTAAATTAAACACTATCTACACACTTGCATCAAACTGTTTCTTATGATAGTGATTTTAATCACTGTCAGATATTTGTCCCAACTATGCCACATCTTCATTGTGCTGCATCCCCACTGTGTTACTGTTTTTTCTTTATCATATTATTAAATTATTTTTTGAAGTAAATATTTTTTCTTTATAAAAATTAGAACTTTTCAATAGTTTCTGAAAAAATGAGTGTCTTACCTTACCTAATATCAGTATGTTTATTCATAAAAAATTGTTTATAATATCTAACAAAATTTTTAACATTAATTCTGCATACTATTATTGATTTTGTAGCTTGATAAGCAGCTGGTACATTTACAGAGCGGTAAAAATGTAAGGAAATCTTTCCTTCGTCTGGCCTTGGAATAATGCTATAGGAATATGCATAACCTAATCCTCGTACATTCTTCCACATAGGTCCCTGTTAAAATTATAAATTACATTAATTAAATGAGTGATAAAAACAGATTATAAAGTATAATATTATTAATTTTTGCTTATACTGTTGGACTTCTTATAAATTTTATTTTATTTTTGATAACTACATGTGGAATTTTTTTTTTAAATCTACAACATCAATAGTTCTTTTTACATATTAATACTACAATATGGACAATTAACTTTGAAATAAAAAAGAAATACAATATAATTTAAAAAATCATTTTTTTTTAATTGAGCGAAAGAGGGTTTGAAAAAAGTTGTTTTGAGATAAATAGTTTCAAAGTCTCAACCTTCATAACAGTTACATTATGTGTTACTTTGTTTTTAGCATTTATATAAGACTATAGGCGCATAGAACACTATTTAAGAATAATACACTTATAAATTTTCAACACCAAAAATATTAAAAATTTTCTCACCCTTAAAATATATCATATTACTTATAAACTTATTACTACAGAAATAAAATCGATCTTATTGGCCAATTTTGTTTGGAAAAAACATTTGATCAAAAATATATTTGAATTATAATAATTACATACCTCTAACTGAGTAAAATATTGCAAAAATACTAAAATAGCAGCTATGTCTGGATCGTTATAATCGTTTATACAATCAGTAACTTGGGTGAAATAACTTGATTCAATAGAACCCATTCCAACAATACAAGCTTGACTTTCACATTGGTTTAGAGGTAACATAGAATCAAAGTCATAAAGTGTATTAAATCTAAAAATTAATATTAAAAGTAATAAAAAATACAATTTTAATACTACATCCCAATTTTTATTACGGATGTACTGATGTCTTTGAATTATCTGGAATAATTTTTTGTAATGTAACAGAGGCTTCAGGAATAATAACACATAATTTATCCAAATTGCCTGTTATGTGTAATTTTATCATATCTGGATTAGCTAAAAATAATTTTAATTTATTCAAATCTTCATTTACAACTTGCCAACCTTCTTCTGTTTCAATGGTTTTTTGCAAGCTAGTTAGAAACTTATATTGTCTTAAAGTACTAAATGTGTAATTATTGCTATCTGTTAAAAAAAAATTGAAATTAGTTTAATTTTAATAGGAAATTGAAATGATAAATCAAGAGATAAAGTAAATTAATATAAGTGGATAACTATATGCAAAAATGCAAGTTTCCCATTTTTAACAGCTATTACTCTTCCATAAAATATCAAAAAAGATCAGTAGGACACTGTTAACAAGGAGCTCAAATAGCAGAAGTAATAAAATTGGGCCTTGAGAACCATCAAAAGAAGGAAAAATTACTTCAGAAAGAGACCATGGATCGAAACATAAAGTTTCCTATTACATAAGTAAAATTGAAGCCATGACAAAAGAGTATCGCCAAAATGATTTAAGTTGAGAATAAAAGAAAGGATTTATTGTTTAACACAGTTGAAGGATTTATTAAAATCAGTGTATGTAAGAATAAATTGCGATTTTAGATGAAAGAATTAAAAAATAATAATAGGAAGTAAAATTCAAATTATATGTTGTAGTAGATGGGCTAAGACGAAAGCATTGAGAAGCCATTTGAGCAACTAGGAGAAAGTTAATAAATAAAAAATTTATATGAACTGAATAAAATATCAGATAAAAGATGATGACTCTAAGCATTTAAGTATCTAATAGAGACAAAGTTAATAACGAGTCTAATTGTAGATATAGCAAAAACAGTAATGATAAGCGAGATAACATTGAGAAAAGTGGATTGACTGTTATGTGTTCATTAATTAACACTTAAATGTTAAAAAATAAAGTTATAAAGTTATAAAATGAAAACTCATAACATAGCATTTAAAATTAAGTTATTGAAATTTAATAACTTAAAAAGTCTAACAAGACTGTTTGTAAGAGTGGACAAAAATTTAACTTAATGCAAACATATTTAGAGTAGTTTGCACTTATAAGCTTTGATATATGTTTTGTAATTATTCTATTTTCCCAATATATTTATAATTACCTTGTTTGTAAATCATATTTCTTAAAATGTCTTTTAACATATGGCTTCCATCTCTACGATAGCAAGAAACTTCATTTATAATTTTTGACAAAGTGATAGAAAACTTTTCTTTAGTAATAATTGTATTATAAAGAAAATTATGAAGCCAGTTGATGCTTTTATTATATTTTTCTGGTTCAACCTATTTAGTCAAAACATTCAACATAAGTTTTGAGTTTCAAATATCAATAATTAATTTAATTTTATATTTCAATATAAATCAATAATTTAGTAAATATTATATCCAATATAAAATAATTTTTTAATTATGTAAGGTAAAACAATTAAATTAATAAAAACAATGAAAATTTAAATTAATATAAATAAAATTAATCTTTTTTTATTTAATTAAAAATTGCAAATAATCTCTGCCATTAGAACATACATTAAGTGATAATATTACAACAGAGGAAAAAGTTCCACAAGAAAACCAAGAAGTTGATCCGATTCCAACAGACGAATTCCATGAAACAGTATCTTTTTCTAATTCTGCAATGACATCCATGTAATCTAATTTTACACCATTTTGTATTACAGTACTTTCCATTATTAAATCAACAACAATGGGTAAGTACTTTCTAAGATTCAACGCCAAGTCTTTAGTGTTAATAAATGCATTCATCTGAATGGAATCATTAAAGAATAGCAAAATGAGTAGGTCTTACAAGTAAATAGAATTTATTTATAATTGACTTAACTTACATAAACAAAATTACTTTTAATATTGTCAATTTCAACAAACAATGGAACCTCAGAAGTTTTAAATAAATTGTGTTGATTTATTGAATTTGATGAAAAAGTATCATAAGTTAAAAACTGTATGAATTCAACATTAGGAATTTTAACTGATGTCAACATTTCATTAGGAGGTTTTTTCTGAAATTTATGAACCCATAAATTAGTTAAAATCAATGTTATACACAAAAAACCGGGATAATTAAGTTGATTTCTAAAAAATTTTCTAATATATTATAATATATATATATAATATGGTAGGTACCTTCAATAATGCTAATAAATAAAAAAAATATTTACTTGATAGCATATGTGATAAATATGGGAGCTTTTGGAATTAAAAATGTTACACAAAGTGGTAACCCAACCAAACCAGGTTTTAACATCTTTAATAACTTTTGATCTCGATTTCTAAGGTTATTACGTTTTGAACCTTTTTTCACACTTCCTTTACTTGCATTAAAGATAATACAATGAACTTTAAGATGAAATAAGAAAAACTATCCAAAATCTTAATTCCTAGGAATTATTGGGTGTTAAAACAAATAAATGTATACAATTTTTGAAAATAATGCCCAATTCTGTAATATTTCGAATTTTATCAAATTACTTAGATTATTTCAAATTATAGGTTTATTATTGTAATACATATTTAAAAAAATAAAAATGTTCTGGTAACATCCTTTGTGAATAATCAACCACAAAAATGAAATATTTTTTACTTGTTTAAAATACACATGAAAACATTTTATAACAGTGAATTAATAACTACTAATTTATAAATATTTTAACTCCACTTTTTTAGATCGTTGCTGTACTTTGCATTTTATTATTTGTCCCAAATAAAAAAAAATTAATTAATATTTTTGATACTTCAAAATAGCCATTTTTAGCTTATTCATTAGAAAAAAGTGTAGAAGGAAATAATAACTTTAGATTAAGTACTTATTTAATTACAAGCATTTCAATATAACGAGTGAGTATGAAAGGCAGAGTAAGCATTATTGATATACACCAGTACAAGCTGTACCCACCAATGCAACCATTCTATGTATTAAAATGCTTATAACGCAATAAGTACTTATTAAGTTCTTATCTATAATTTAATTTATATAACTTATTTAATTCACCGTTGGGCTGGTTTTTACCCACCTAATAACTAAAAATATGAATTGAAAGTAATTTCTTGTAATTTATCGCATTAGTGTTAGCAAAACTAATTTATATTCTTTTTTCTTTGTTGTTAGTACTTGTTATATCTTTGATCTTTATATTCATCTTTTTGTTTTTATTTTTATTGTTTATACTTGGTTAACTATATCTGTATCAATCTATTTTTTGTTAAGATTTAACTGAATAAAATAAAATTTAGCCAGCACTTTTCATCTAATATAACAATTTTTACACGTGGCTTAACAGATGAGCGTTACACATATATTATTTTATTCACTACCTATCTAAAACTCCATTAAAATTATTTGCTTCAAAAAGAATGCACAATATTCACTGGGGATCAAAAGTCATTAAGATCTCAAATTCTAGTTGGACTTAGTATGTGATAATTCCAACCCAACCTAGTATCAATATCTAGTATGTGATTAACTCAAAATTAATTATTTTTAGACAAATATTTTTAATTACAATTTTAAAACTTTTGTAAGATCATAATTGATAACTATTATAAAAAAAATATTATTTAATTATTTTTATATTACTTCACATTCTGTTTTAGCATTCAGTAGTTTAATAGATTTTAATTTTAAACCATCATCCCCTAAATCTTTTTTGCGTTGTGATACTCTTTGCACTTCTTCATTAGCAAGGTCTTGTTGTCTTTTTATAGATGGGATTCCTCTTACAACTACTTTATGATTGCTTATAAAATAATCATTTAAAATCTGTTTCCAAAATGAGATATCTTCACTAATAAGTTTCTTCAAAATGATAATTGTGTTCAATCTATCATCTAACTAAAATTATACATTAAAGATAAATTTTATACTTGTTATTTGTTCCTTTAACATTATTTAAATCAACTTACATCTGATTGATTCTTTCCATACAAAAAGTCTCCAATTATTAAATTGGCTAAACTAGAACTAGAACAATTTTCTAAATTTATTAATAAGAATAGCTTATATCTTTCTATACATGTTCTCAGTCTTTCTAGATTAAAATAACAATCATTACTTATAAGCTTATTAAATACTTCATTTAATTTCAATGGTATTTGTTCTGCATTTAATTTTTGAATTGGTACATTTTCAAATTCAAGAACTAAACTTGGATTTAAATGATGACTTATATAGTAAGATACCTTTAAATAAATGAACAATAATTTACTAAGAAAAATTATTTTAACTGATTAAAAATTTATATTATTTTTACCGAACTACACAATGGGTCAGATATTTCAACAAACTCTTTTGGTAAAGCACTTATTGGAGTATCAGTTAAATATTTTAAGAGTAACTGACAAGCCATATACCTAAAAAAAAAGGCATAATTAATATTTAATAAAATCCTCCATAGTATTATTTTGTTCAAACAGTGATTCTAATTGTTTATATAATTCTTTATAGTTGTTTAATTATTTAAGCTTATTATATCATAAATTTCAAAGCATAATATTTTACATTTAAATCTATGAATTTTAAAAATATATAAGGTGGTTTTATATATTCACAAAAATCAAAACTCTTGATATAGTGATTATTTTTCAATATTTTTTATTTATAATGTTTACTCTTTAGAACTACAATAATAATATAAATTATAATATTTATTCAAATTATTAAAAAAAAATTAAAATTAAAAATAACCAATTAAAAAAAAAAGAATAGCCATTAAAAGCAAAAATTGGGTAGCAAAGTGTCTTATTACAGTTCTAAAGTAAATTTTTATAGCATTTTAAAGTTTGTGAAAATTTGAATTTTTACATTTATTTTACATATTAATTACATGACTTAAACATCAGAATTTTTTCCATGAAAATTATCATTGCATATATATATATATATATAATAACATGTATTATTATTATATTTCTAGTTATAAAATTTCTTTGGTATAACTTTACCACAAGGCAAAATAAATTTTAGATACTGAAAGATTTTTAAATAAAAATTATATACCATATTTATTCAATTCATCTAAAATGTTTCGTTAAAGTAAACTGCATAAGTACAATTAAAAAATAACATTTAGATTTGAATAAAATGAGACATAGCAATAGACAAGTCAACCATGGAATCATCATTTTTAAGTAAAATATTATTCATAAACCACTTACTAAGAAATTAGGTGGACAATATAATTTATGGAAAATATCAAAAGTATTATTATTGAATTTAATTTTTCTATATCCACATACATTTGTATGTGTAAATAATAAATTTATTATTGAAAATACATGTATTTACATGTATTAAAATACTTGTAACATAATACTCGTTTTAAAACTGTTATTGACCATTCAATTTTTTTGGAAGAAACAAAAAAAAAGATAAAAATTAAGATTTTTTTTATACAAATAAAAAAAAAAAGTTATCTTGTCCAATAATGCGAAAATTTAAAAAAAAACATATTATAGTGAAATAATGATTGAATTAAATATTATATGTATTATCAGTTAGATTCAACACACTGTATAATATTGTACATAATATCAAATAAATTAAATACTTGTATCTATAATTTGACCCAACTGGACCTCTCCAACCAACATTGATAACACCATTGGTCTCTTCATCACATGGAAATAGTTCTATATAATTTGAAGATTCGGTTAAAGGATCTACAGTATTTTGCCATGGTTTTACATATTCTCCTCGGCTTCCCTTTATTTTAAATATTTTGAATTAAATTTTCATTAATAATAAAATTAAATATGAATTTTATTACTTTTAATAAAATTTTTTGGATAACTGGTTCTAGACTATTAAATAAAGAAGAATGGTCAACTTTTCCAGTGACTAGAAGTAACAGATTTTCAGGTCGGTAATATGCATGATGATATTTGCGAATCTATCAAATGAAATTTTTTAGTTATACTTTATAATTTATTATATTAAGCACAGTATTAATAATAATCTTTTATACTTTTTCATTAGTAGTTGACTCTCGTAAATTTTTCATAATACCTCCTGTTTCTGATTTGTAGCCACATACACCGGGATACATTTTTTTAAGTAGTGACCGACTTACAATACTTTCTGCAGTATTTTCCCGTCCTTGCATTTCACAATAAACAACACCAGCATCTTCACCTTCCGCAGTTATATGGTGAACTTCTGTGACAAAACCAGCATCCTAAAATTTATTTTTATTACAATATATAATTAAATACTTACAAGTGTGTAAATAAAAAAAATTTTACAGTTAAAGTAGGATACAAAATATGATCAAGATAAATAGGAAGCAATGATAGAAATCCTTCACTCCCGGCTGTGCTGACAGTATAACAAGTATGATCCACATCTATAATATATAGCATTAATAATTAAAATCTTGGCGACATTTGAAATAATTTTTAATAAAATACCAGTCCAAGCATTGGTTCCTGAAGCAAGACAACGATTTGCTACCAAATCAAGAACTCCTTTGTAAGGATATTCTTCCGATCCAAGAAATATTAAATGCTCTAATGTATGTGGAATACCATCATTATCGTGAGCTTCTGTGGCTAAATATTTCATAAAATTAATCATTTTCGTGTCAATATTTTTTTTGTTAAATTAGTTTACCCAAAGTGAAATATCCATTTACTAGAGGACCATCAATATCACCAAATACAATAGTAATCCCAGTACGTAAGCATTTATACTTATACACTGGTATAACATTTTCATAAAATGAACAATTAAGAAGACTAAATTTATCAACAAAATTTTGATTTATGGTACTATCAATTGGTGACATAATAATACTGGACATAAACTCAAAATTGTAAATAATTTTAACCAAATTTTTTTTAGATACTGTTTTGAAATAAATTAAAAATTTCTAAAATAATTAATAAATCAATAAGTATACAAAAAAATGTTAATCTTTACAGAATCACTAAAACGCTGCAAGCTATAAGCTGCTTAGAGCAGTCGTTGTTATTATGAGGTTGCTAACAAAATCTAACATGTGTATCTTATCAGTTTATCAATACATAACATTTTAAAGTACCGAATAATTAAAACATTTTTATAAAAAATTTTTTAACATTGTGAAAATGTATATAGTATAACATATTATTATAATTTTGTTATATTTAGAACAGTTATAAATCAAAATAACATTTAGAGGAGAATATTATTTTTCTTTAAAATATCTTAATTATCAAAATAAATGTTTTGCATTTTTTTATTAATAAAATTGTTTTGAGTAAAAAGAATCGTTTAAAAATTTATCCACCTTAGAAAAATAATGAAAATCTGACCCTTTACGTGGATAATGGGGGATTTAAAATAATAACTTTCACAAGAAAACTTAACATTTGGAAATGTTCAGTAAATACTTCGAGCTTCAAAAATGTTTTCGCTACAAATGATATATAATAAATTACAATTTCAATATCATAACTGAGATAATAATAAACTAACAAAGGTCAAAATAAATTGAATTAAGAAAGCTAACTTACTTCCTTTTTTTGATAAATCCTAAATTACATTTTGATAAACGTTTGCCATAGAGGTAACAAAATACACTATTACTTTATAATTTTTTATAATTTCTCCATGAAAATTATAATATAAAATTTTGAATATAAATTTCATCCTAAATTTAATTTCTATATGTATTTATTATTATATTAAACTTATAAATCATTAAACTATAAATTGGGATATAATTAAGAATATAGGAATTGATGTTGCTTTTGGACAAACCCAATTCTTATAAAAATTAAACAATATTAACAGATTTTCATCGAAGCGTTTATTATAGTAGTGATATTAATCATTGTCATATATTATCTATACTTGTCACAACTATGCCGTGTCCCTGAGCCTTGACACCACTGTGCTGGTTATTTTTTTTAATATTTTTAATAAAAAATAATTATAACATTATATATAAGAGCTTCATTTGGGTTACTAAAAATTTTACACAACAGATGGGTGACTTGTTTTACAAATGATTACACTGCATACATTTTGAACGAAGACTTTATTTCATTTTAGCAAGTATTAGTTTACTTAAAACTGAATTTGTTAACATAACTTTTAGCTTAACTTCAAGTTTGAAATTTACATTAATAAATAAAAAATTTTATGAGAGGAAAAAAATAGTATTGTTATGATTGATATGACAAATTTTTGTTATATTCAGGTGAAAAAAAAATTTTTTTTTTTAGATTTATGATTTATACAGCAACATGTTAGCAAAAAAAAATTAATATTATAGACTGTTAACACATAAATAAAGTTAAAAAATTAACATATTACAAAGTAAAATTATTTAATTTTGTAGTTGAAACCTATTATTATATCAAACCTAATTCAATAATAAATACTTTAAAACCATTAACAATGAATGATTTTAATCATTTTAATTGTCTTATATGGAGAATGTGAGTTAAGAAAATTTTTCATTGATAAAGTAGAAATTTAATATAATTATTTGTATGGATAAAGCTGTTTAAGGTACTTTTTATTTCATTAAGGATTTTTTTTTTTAAATTAAGAGGATAATATCTTCAACTAAATACGAACTGTAATCATTTGATATATCGTTGAAAAAAGTAAGTTAGTTGAGGGTTGAAAAAATAATTCGTAGCCACGAAAAGAAACACATAGTAAAATAATATTAAAATGAATAAGACAATTCTTCTCACAAGAGGAGACTAGGGCGATGGGATACTTGATATTTATTGAAGTTAATGAACCTAAATGAGATAAAAATCAAATGATTTAAAAATTTTTCTAACTTAAAAAAAATGCAAAATATTAATTGTCACAGGTAGATTCGAACATGGTACCCTAACTGTGAATGACACAAGTGTTACCGATTCGTCAAATGTTTGTCACTTTCGCCAATTAAGCGGAATTTTATTAATTTATTTTTAATTATAATAATTAAAATTATAATTTAATTTTAATTTTTAAGGATTAATAAAATTGACAATTTAAGCTAATTCAAATTTTAAATTATTTTTTCGACATTAAAAAGCAAAAAAATTTATACAAGTTTAACTTTTTATGTCTTATGAACTTTATTCTGAATAATAATAATATAAGCTTTATTTAAAATTAAATAAAAGTGTCAATATTTCCGGAATATTTTCAAAAATTTACATTGAAAAAGCTTAACTTGAATGCAAAAATTGTTTTTTTGAATTCCCCTGCGGCAAGTAGAGTCAGATTTTCAAAAAAATTGTATCAAATGAACAAAAAAAAAAATATCTAAGGCATCAATACAAAAAAAACAATTTTAATTAGTTCATTTTTCAAAAAGTTATAGCTGTTTTAAGTATTAAAATAATTCATGTTAAACGGTGATTTTTACATAAAAATTATAAGTTTTGTTAAATTCGACAACCATTGTCCTATAGAAGAAAAGGTGACAGGAAAAATTTTATTTTTTGAACTTGTAGCATTTATTGTAAGTTTTAATTTGACATATGTTTAAAGGACGCAGTATTCCGGAACATTTTCAAAAGTTAAGTTGAAAAAGTTCTACTTTTTATACGTATGTAAGTTTTGAACACTCCCTGTATAAAGGAAAATTGTCCAATTTCAAAAGTATGTTAAATGAAATAAGTATATATATATAATCTATTAAAAAACCCAGCACAGGAGGGTCGCGGCACAGTGGTGACATGGCATAGTTGGATCAAGTATAATGATATCTGACAGTGATTAAAATCACTATAAAAAAAAAACGCTTCGATGCAAATCTTTAGATAGTGTTTAATTTTAAAAAATTGGTGGATTATTCCAAAAGCTTCATAAACTGCTAGTTCCTTATTAATATCCTGTTTAAGATAAAGTATGTCGAATGAAAAAGAGATTATTTAAAAATAGTATTTCCCATAAAAAAATTATATTGTTCAATACACTTTTCAATAAGTTATAGCATTATAAAGTTAAAAATGTAAAAAATAAAATTGAGAATTTTCACACAAAAATAGCATTCGGTAGCTATTTTCACCCTGAAGATAAAATAAAGTCCGAAATTTTTTTTTTTCACAATAAATTATATTACATTAGCTTTAATTTAAGATATATATAAAAGTGTCAGACCTTCCGGAGTTGAAAAAATTAATTTTTTGTAAAAAAGTTGTCATTTTAAATCCCCCTCTGTGGGCAGGTAAAAAGTCAGACTTATAAAAAAATATACCAAATGATAGGTAATGACATCATGCATCTATAAAAAAAAGAATTATATTGACATGTTTATTTTTAAAAAAGTTACGGCAGTTTTTAGTAAAAAAAATTAGCCATTTTTAAATTTGTAATTTTTTTGTAGGTTTCACCCATTTACGGGGAACGAGGAAATTTTTTTCAATTTTTGAGGGTAATGTCTTCGACTAGATACGATTTGTGATCTTTTGACGTATCATTGAAAGAAATCGGTTCGATGAGAGCTAAGAAAAAGTGGTAACAGACAAAAAAAAAAAAAAAAATAAAAAAAAAAACACATCTTAGTAAAACCAATACCTTTTCAGCTTCGCATCGAAGCTAAAAAAAAAAATTGTGCTGATACATACATTTTGCTAACAGTTATAGCAATTTAAACTTAAAAATATAAAATCGAAAATCAAAAATTTTAACACAAAAATGGCATGTTTTTAACTATGGTAGCTATTTGCACATAGAAGATAAGTCGCCGGGACAAATTTTTTTTTCATTTTATAGTACATGATATAAGCTTTAATTTGATATATGTTTAAAGAACGCAGTATTTCCGGTCAATTCAAAAGTTAAGTTGAAAAAGTTAATTTTCGTAAAAAAATTACTATTTTAAATCTCGCCCTGTGAGCAGACTAAGTGTTAGATTTTCAAAAAAATGATATCAAATGAAAGGAAAATATCTAAGGTTTCAATATAAAAAAAAATTAAGTTGATTTGTTAATTTTTGAAAAATTTATGGTAGTTTTAAGAAAAAAAGTGAAAAAATGACGAAATTTACCGATTTTAAAAATTGTAATTTTTTTGAAGATTTCCCCCATTTACGTGGAACGAGTGAAATGTTTTCAATTTTTAAGGGTAATGTCTTCAACTAGATACGATTTATGATCTTTTGACATATTGTTCATCAAAATCGGTCCAGTTAGATCTGAGAAAATGGGGCAACAGACACAAAAAAAAAAACATGGTAAATTAATACATTCTCAGCTTTGCATCGAAACAAATCAAATGTGTGCTTTTTTGTCATTAGTACATGGTGGTCGACAATAGGATAAAACGCTAATTTAGTCGACCAAATGTACCAATTTTACATTAACTTGGAATGTTTCATTTTTACAAACATTTTTTCTTATCTCCTTAAGTGTAATAAAAACACTGTTATATAAAATATTCTTCTATCCGTTAACCGAACCATCCAAATTTAATTTTTAATCCGGATTATTTGGATTGGTGGTATTTTTTAATCAGGATAAGTCATCCAGATTTCGTGCTCAGTTCTGATTTGAACACATAACTATGTATTCTTTTAGTTTTTTGAAAAGATTTTTTTTGATACTAAATCTCCAAGGGTGGCCTAAATATATTTAGATAAAAAATATCAGGAACACTAACATAGCGCCGCAGTCATCGTTGAAGAGATAGTGAGTATATACTCCCGCTCTTTGCCGTTGCCGAGACCACGTGCCTGCTATAAACCTATATTTACATTAGAATTGCCGTCTAACGACAGTCGCATTCACACTGCGGCAGTTGTCGCTACTTTGTTTCTTAAGTGATGTGATCATTTGATACGATCGATTTATTTTATATTATAATGGTCATGACGGCTACGTCAAATAAATAATAGTTTCTATCATAATACCGCAAGTGTAGTGTAGTATCAAATAGTACCCTTATTGAGGTATAATGTTCCTAGTAACGGTTCCATTGACGATCGCTATGCTGTTGGCTTCGTCCGAGGCTCTCCAACAGCAACTTCATCAATGCGAGAACGGTGGAGAAGTGAGTTTCGAGCTGCTTACCGGATACGTGGAAAATTCAGATGCTAAGCACGCAATGCGTGAACAGTTGGCTTTGTTTACTCTACCTCAATGTATCGAAGCCTGTAGAAGCGATGAACGGTGCGCAGGGATCACGTACGAAACTGGCGCTTGCGTTTCCTTTGCAACTATGCCGCAGAAGAAACTTGGTAAGCGATACAGTTAACGACTTTAAGCTTTACTTGCCACTTTGTTACAATAGCGAAAGCTTAGCATACAGGGCGTATGTAATATTTTTAACTAAATGGGATTTTACATAACTCAATTTTTCTTATTCATTCTCGAAATATTAAAATCATGTAATTTTTCTATTCCATTTCCATTCTAGGAATAGAACAGCCCCCGAAAATACTCCTCTGCGATGTTAGTGCATTTATGATTAATATAATGTCCTCGAAATAAAAATAATATCATTTAAAAAGCTGTAATATTATTTAAATTATATTTCGACAAAAACAACTAAAGCTAACGGTAACTTAAAAATGTCTTTAGCGATTATGATTATTCTATCGCTATACAATAAAGCGTCCCATCTAAATTTATTTCTACGAATTTTTAAAGTACTAAAGTAAATTTAGCTTACATTTAACTCAAATTTAAAATGAACTGTAATTTTTAGATATTTTGAAGTCATATAGAGATCGCTAAATTCATTTAAAGGTGAAAGTTTGATATTAAAAAAAAAAAAATTTTCCAATAATTTGTTATTTAAGTTACTGTAATCATTGTAATACAAGCTAAAATATTTATAAAACATTTAATCTAGTTGATATTTTATTTTTATACATAGTTAATATAATAAAAAGGATCAAGAATAGTTTTTTATTATTAAAAAATATAAAAACAATAATTTTTTTTCCATTATAATCACACACAAATTTATTATTCAATATAATTACACGAAAAGTATGTCCATTATTGTAGTTTTTCTTTTTATTACTTAGAGTAAATAATGATCCACGTAAAAATAACTGGTTATTTTTTGTATTTTTTATATTGTATTACTAGCAGGCAAGAAACCATTGGTTTAAAAGGGGTTATTTTTACATTAATCACTATTTACTTTAAGTACCTAATTTAAAAAAACTTCAATCTTGGACATTTTTTTTCGTGTATTAGTATTAAACAATAAAAAAACGTAAGATTTTAATAATTGAAATGTACATTCGGCTCTAAAAATTTTTCTTGGTTCTGAGTCATTTAAGTCTCTCACTACTATTATTGTGTTTTATATTTTCACAAGTATTATTGATAAAGTATGTACTTAAGTGGTTTCATAGGGGATTAGAATTTTTCAAAAATAAATATTACTTAATAGTACTAATAAATATTATTTAATACTTCATAAATAATTTGAATAATTATTATTTTTAATAATTTAATTTATAGACTCGCAGCTGAATTAATATTGCTTTTTTCGAACCGAAATCATGTATTGTTTTTTAAACAAATAAGCATAAATATACAAACTAATACCAAGTTTTACTGCAATATCGAAAATGATTATTTTTTAGTTGCCTAGATTTATTTGATGTATAATACGTGACACCTTATCCCAAAATTGACAACTAGGAGTTTGTTCAAATAATTAAAAATAATTATAATTATAATAATTATGAAGTTTTAGAAAATATGATGATTCTTAATTTATGAAGTAAAGCAGGTAAAAAATGGCATATCTATTTTTTAAATAATTGTAATATCATGATATTAAATTGTGTCAAAATATTTCATTGGATAGAGTTTCTGAAATCGCCTAATTACGAGTTATACTTGACAATAAATTATGGTTGCGCTAGAAAATAATACTTGTTTTCGGTGTAAATCTAACAGGAGTCACAGTGATTTTCATAGAACCTGTGTAAAACTAAAAATAAATAATTTTTACTAACTTGTTTTAAGAATATCTAGTATCTACGTAATTGGTTTTTATTTGCTAAAAATATATTCATTAAAACATATTTTTTGAAATAATCTAAAATAATAATAATTAAAATGATCATTTTTACACAATCATTTCTTTTATAAAAGATAAGGCTAATTGGACTAAACCTTCCCCGTAGTTTTAAATAAACAATCACCTAAAAAGGCAATGCATTTATTTAATTTTGGTACTTTTATTAAATATTCCTGGGAATATTATTATATTAGTGTTGATAGTATTGAGAGAAATAAGTGAAAACTAACGTGCATGGTATACGATAGTATAGACGGACAGAAGGATGGATTTAGAAGGATGGAATAATCTAGAATAATATCATCATGAAATGTTTAATAGAGGAAGTTTGTGCTCTTGATATGTCAGTATATTTAGAATTTAAAAAATAGTGACCAATTGAAAATTAAATTTTTGCACCAATTATTATCATGTATTCAATTATGGTTCATAATTACCAAAAATATTTTACTGGCATTATTGATACTGCAATAAACTAGAGAAATTTTTAATATATTCATGGAAATTTATGTAAACTCGTATTATTTCACATGTAAAAACAAATAATTATTTATTCGGAGAGAGAAAAACGCGGACCTGATATACTTACTGAAGCAACGAAACCGGTACAGTGTAAAATATAGGCTGGTGTATTTCTGTCGTATACACGATTGTACACTTACAAAAATAAACATAATTATTTTAATAATATAATGAATTTGCATAATATTTTGTTGCTAAATGACATTAAAAACTTGTAATCAAATAATCTTTACTATTATTGACACACTGACATAAAAAGTAATATACATATTTAAATGATTTGGAAGTTGTCACAAAATGCATTTAAACAGAATTTAATGTTTGAATATCTATAACTTCAAATTATCTAAAAAAATTTCAATTTTTTACATTGAAAATTTAAAAAAATGTAAATGACTATATATATTAGTCTATAAAACATGACTAAATAATGTCTTCAAAAAGGGTTAAAATCCGTTTCAAACCCATAATTATCATAAAATAAATAATAAATTACTAACTGTTAACGATTGTTCTACACGTAGTAAAATCAAAAATAAATTAAAAATTAAAGAAAAGACTAGCGTTAATTATATTAATTAGAGTAATAAAATAATTTTATTATACTTAGATTGGACACTTAGGAAACCACTATTATCTATAACAATGTCCCCATATTTCTAAAATAACATTTTAATGCTACTATAAGCTTGTATGATTAATCAGTTAAAAAGATAAAAAAGTTATTAAAAATATTAGCAGCAGAAATTATGTTAAGATAAATAAACGGAACACATAATTGAATAAGACTGGGTTAAGACCTTGAAGTTAGAAAAATCATAATATATTTCTCAGCATTCATCATACACGTATACAAGAGCTAAGAGTATATACCCTTAGGTTACTAAAGGATTTGGTAATATTTTAAGTACATTTATCCGTTTGTATGCCTTGGCGCATCATAGTCAGTCAAGTCCATTTTATGGAATGTTACGTGTTACCACTCGAGTGTTCAAATCCAATGTTATTATTATTATTATGTATATTCAGTGTCCATCTCGTTCAAAGAAATAATAAATGTCAGCACACTGTCGGGGTCTACTTTCTACCTGTAACTATTAAACTAAAAGATCAAATATATTATGTTCTGCGGCTGTTGAATATTTATAAAATGAAGAATATCAATACGCCCCATCAAATGAAACAGGATCATTCCAATATTTATACATAACATGTATGTTATTCTTTATATTATAAATAAAAATAAATTTATTTCAAAGTTATAATGAGTGCATTGTTTAAAAATTGATAAAAACAAATATTTTTAAATTTGATGATCTCTTAAACATCGTCCTATTATGTATTTACCATTATAAACTTTTAAAACTCATATGGTGACCTAAAATATTAATTAGCTTTGATGCGTAACTGTGGAGCTATTGGTTTTACTTTGACGTATTTTTTTTGTGCCAGTTGAGCAAAATGATAATCTTCTACTGGACACATTTCGCTCAACGATACGTTAAAAGATCACAAATCGTATCTAATTGGTTTTTAAAACAGTTTGAAAAATTCTCCTCAATCCACGAAAAAAAAGAAGTTTTCCAAAAAATTACAATTGTTAAAGAACAGTCCATGTTGATATTTTTAGTTTTATAGTTTATTATTGAAATATTTTTTTAAATATTGGTAAAATAATTTTGTAATTTATATTGATTATATTTTAGACATTTTCTATGCGGATGACATATTTTTTTGGAAATTTATTTGCAAAATCGCTAATTAAAATGTTTTTTTATTTTTAATTTTTGATACTGTTTCAAACAATCTGACTTCTTTAAACCTACATTAGATTGAAACTAATACAATGTACTTTAAGACAAAAAATAAAACTATATGAAAACTTGATTTGTATGAGTTCTTATCCAATAAAACGAAAAATCATAAAGATTTTGTTAAAAACGTCAATTTTCTAGATTTCTTTCATAGTATCTTCATATTTCTGAATTATGTAGAATTAATGCCTATTTAATGTACTACAAGATTAAAAAGAAAACGTTCTAACAATTTATCTTTTAAGAGCAATTGACAAATTTTATTACCATATGTTACCATTTACCAGAAAAAGTTAAATATTTGTATTAGATTGTATATTTTAACAAGTCCACGCAATTGCGTTTTTAAAATTTGCAAAATAAACATTAAAATTATAAGAACAATTTTTTTTTCTATCTTATTATCAAGTTAAAAATAGCAGTTCTCATTTAAGAAATTATAGTTAAAGATTTTCATTCTTGGGATGAAAAACATTTTATAAATCTAAAGCCACAGTATAATTTTTATATACTATAACACGTGGTTGGGATGGCCTCGTATGATAAAAGTATAATTACTATTATCTATATCCATCGTTTCGCGCACGTGGGTGTTAACAAAAAGTATACATTTTTTGATCTACCTTATACTTAGAAACTGGTCTATGCAAAGTGTAACACAAAATTGCCAGTTTAATGAAGTACAGTGGACGGAATAAACATAATAATAACATGTTTTAAAGAAGCTGTAATTTAATACTGTTCATTAAGTAATCTTACAACGACGAACTACATTTAGAACTGACGTATAAAATGCAGTTTTTAATCAAAACAATGATTTTTATTACAGACCTGATATTGTCAAGCGCCTTCACCT